AGTGTACATATTAAGTATTGTGGGTGAGTTCACACAGGGCAGTTTAGGCCCGTTTACCTGGGTCAGGGGTGTGAACAAGTTCACACAGGGCAGAAGCTAAACCATGGGAAATATTTGCTTGATCTAATTACCACCACGTTTTATGCTCTTCTGTTACTGTGGAAATCTATTAAAGGTGACAAATACAGGGGTTCATATTCATGGGAATTCAAAGCCCCATCTTGGAAATACAACCTATATAGATGTCCTCTGCTATACTAGTACTCCTTATACGTACACTTGCTCTCAAGCATATACGTACACGTAAAGTCTGTGCGCAGTGTTGTGTTTTACCAATTTTGAAATGCGAAAATGCCAGTGTTTGAAAGGGAGAAATTAAAAATATATGTACATTACTTTTAAAAAATCCATGTTCATAAAAATAGAAATAAACATACATTTAATTTGTCTTTTCTTCGATGATTTGCTGAAATTAAAAAATAATACAAGATCATATATGTTAGATGATAAATGTGATGATAATATTAACTTTTTTATTTATTTGCGGGTCGGTGATGAAATTAAGGATAAGTTAAGATTACAAGGATATGCGTTTCTCAAAGTATTGTAAGTACACAGTTTCTGTCCAAGTTTGATTTCACAATGTATACATGACGTATACATTCACACTGTTCACTGCGATGTACATTGGGTATTGAGGCAAACTGAGTGGAATAGTGTTCAGGAGCTGTCCACTGTCTGCATGGAAAGTGAAGATAGATTTCTTCTTATTGTCACAAACCATCACATGACTTTGTCTGTTCAATGTAAATACCCCATGGATCCTCCAGTGGACCCTGACCCATGGTTGTTATGTGCTGACCTCTATTGGAAAACACTTGGATACATTTGTCATCTTGTGATACTACATGTATATACAGGTGACTTGTATGTGACACAGCCACATCATATGTAAACGTGAATTCTCCAGCATGTGAGGAAACATTTGTTCTTTCGTTTATTTTGTCCACTATAAAAATGTGTTGACAATCTACGGCCAAACCAGTTATGAGCATGCATCGATCAACTTTCGGTTTAGCAGTGAAATAGGACAAGTTTACTGCGTTCTCTAAGAAAACGGGAGGGTGCAATTCTAATCTAGGATTTACCCTTGGTCTTGGAAGTTGTGCCTGTACTACGACAGTAGATATTGTACCAGGACTAAACGACTTCTGTGCAGGTGTGTCTAGAGTAAGTATATTCTCCACCGATCGCCTCTGGTCTTTCTATCAGGTGTTTTACATGAACCATGATATCAGAGTCAGTGCCATTTGTTACAAGTTGCAATATTGATAGCATGCATTTTATTTGGTATAACTGTAAATACAACAAGTGGAAAGCAAATACAGGGTATGAGCAACAACTGATACCCAGATCATTATCATCTCTTCATCGTTAAAAGCTTTGGACATAATTCCTGTTTATGTCCAAGTTAAAAGTAATGTTTTCTTACTGTGTATTATTATGTCATTGCATGAAAAATGTGCATTTCGTGTGTGGTTATTATTTTCCAGGAGATTTTTTTTAAAACCGTGTTGTAAAATTATCATTTTTGGAAGATATGGAATACAAACACATTTTTCCTGTTAATACACAGGTGCATCGTTTTTCTCCTCCACAATGAGAAAACCCGTAATCCTCTCTAGCACAATGTGAAAACCTCTCTAGCACAGTGAGAAAACCAGCAATCGTAACATGAAGACAAGACTGTCGCCGTCTTGGAGTGAAAGATTAAGATTCCGTTTGAACGTTATAATGATTGCATTCCCTCGCAAAGATTGCGACCGAACGTAATAGTTATATTGAGTTCGACGGATGATTTTTTAAAAATTCTTATAATTATTCAGGCCCGTAGCCAGGGGGGGTTCGGGGGTTTCGAAAGAACCACCCTTTTTGCTGGGAAAAGGTCCACTCTGGGTAAAATTTGATCTAGGTACATAAAGTTTTTAAAGAAAAAGGTCCACTTTTTCAGAAAAAGAACCCCCCTTTTGACATTGCTACGCGCCTGTTATTATTTATTTTTTTGTTTGTTTGCATGTCCCTTTAAACCCTCTGTAAAAATCACTCTCATCTGTGGAACTCTCCCACTCTAAGATATTCTAGATCTTCCTTTTCCTCAAGTAGAAGACAAATTTCCCCTTTTTTGGCACAAGTCTCTCTTTTGTTATACGTACTGCTTCCCACCTGCAGCATTAACAATCAACAAAAATGTAGCAACTGTTATATTTCATTGTTTTGTATTAGTTTGTCATATTCTGATCTGATAAATACTTTTACTGGGATTTTTAGAATAAAATAGTATGTACAACATAGGTAGTGGAGGGATCGTTTACGACCCCAGCACCATTTTGTTTCTAGTAAGACGGGCACACGAGGCCACAGTCAGAAATTTTCCAGTTTACATCGACGGGCACCCATTAATTTTTGTTGGAAGACGGTCAAAATTAGAAGATGGATCAACAAAAATAATTTGGAAGACTGTCAGAAAATATCTATGGATCCGCCCCTGTAAAATAACCATAAACGATACAAAATCTGTTAACATATCTCCTGAAAGTTGACAAAATGTGACAAATTCGTGCAATTTTATGGAAACACAAGGTACAAAAAAAAGAAGAAAAAAAACACTAACAGACATGGGCCTGGGGTCGTAAACGACCCCACCCGGTGCGAATAGGGTTTATAATTTAAATGTCTGCATGGTTTCAAAGCCTCCTTGACATAGATCTAACGAATCTTGTCGCCGTTTTTTGTCCCATCATTTGTTTGTCAGTCGATGATTTCAAAGTACATCATCACTGAACGACTGCAGTATATTATTTTCTCATGACAAATTATTCAGTGCAGTTCTCGGTTATCACGCACATATAGGCCTACTCGGCTGGTAAGGTGTTTAAGTAAAGAAGTGTAAGCTCATGGAGCCTTGCTGTCGGTTATCATGTAATTATGAAATGTTAGCTGTGACTGAGACCTAGAAATTGAAACCAATTGCTGATTAAATGTGATTTGCTAAGCCACTTTGTGCGGTGTACGTCTGGTTAAGTCACCATCACCTGTGGCTATCGTTACTATGCACTTTTCATGGCGGTACTAGATTTCTTTTTATTATCAAGGAAAATGATTTTGTTTTTAACGTGACAGTAGGAATCATAGATAAAATGCAGCTTGGTTTTGAAACCCAGCCTAATGAGATAAGTGTGTGTGTGTGTGTGTGTGTGTGTGTGTGTGTGTGTGTTAATTTTTTCATTTTGCTGCAAAATTTATTTCCTATGATGGAAAAAAGATCACATGAAAATCAAATGAAGTCAAATTTTGGTGATGAAAGATGAATGAAAGATGAATAAAAACTTTTTATTTATCACTGGCCTGCAGATGTGTTCCACTCTGTGACATTTTATTCCATTCACATTCATATATACTTAATATGCATAATTGGATTATATTTTTTCTGTCAAAAATAATATAGTACTGGTATTACTGGATATGGTAAGGTATCCATTATATTTGCTCTAACTTGTCTAATTTATCTCAGCATTCGTATAGATACTTGTATGTGACTTGTCCTAAATATTAGTAAATATAGCACTGCACAGGCTTTGTTTGCAAGTATAATGTATGAAGGCAGTGTGCCTTAGAACCTCTCTCTCTCTCTCTCTCTCTCTCTCTATATATATATATATATATATATATATATAAGGTGGCTGGACTAGGAAGAGGGGGAATTTTTTTCAAATCAAATCCATATTATCTTTTAGATGCTTATACAACCTTATAAAACAGATGATTTTTTTCTTGCCAAATCTGAATAAATATCTTAGTAATAAGATACTTGCTAAAGACTAGAAAGATTATAAATAATTCATTTTATAGAATCAGATCTTAGTCATTAACAGAAAAAATGATATCAGAGAAGGAAAAAAAGACAAATGATGGATGCAAACAGATATATAATTAATAATAACCACAGTATATATGTAAGGACCATTCTGGTTATTAAACTTAACAATAACTAATGACTTCTAGGTACAAGTAACAAAAACAACTGCTTTATTGGTTACTTAAGATGTGCTATCTAATGCATAAGGGGCTGTTCAGAAAGAGTTGAGTTTATCAAGCTAGTGTACACCTCATGTAATTCCACAAAGACTCCTGCTAAATGGACTTTAACCAGCATCTGTTTTCTACTCATCATCAGGAGGCATGTTAGTCTGTTAATCTGATTGCATTCAGCGAGATCACCTGTAGAGTTAGTGCACACTAGCTAGTTACAGCTTTTTTCATTCTGAATGGCCCCTTATTAATTTTTTATGGGAGCAAAGGACACATTATGATCCTGCACTTGTAGCCGTGTATGGGATATTATGTCAATGTACAAAGTAGTGGGGAATGGACTACAGTTCCTTGCAGACTACAATTCCTATAATACTGTCTCTGATTTCAATTTTCCCATCCCTCCCCAGTGTGTCTCCAATATTAAGGTCAGCTTCCTTGATATCACCACTGTCTCAACAGAGAATGATATATCTTTACATACAGGTTTCAGGGACAATTAAATAAAAGTAAATGTAGTATCCACTGAGTATACTCTACATAGTCGTTTTGAGAAGACTGCTTTTGCAATGACCTTGTTGACCTTGAGTAACACAATGGAAAATTATCAAAGACAAATGTCCCCTTTTTTGGTACAAGTCTCTCTTTTGTAATACTGCTTCCCACCTGCAGCATTAACAATCAACAAAAATGTAGTAACTGTTGTTATATTTGCACCTAAGTTATCTAGTTCAAGGTCACAACCTTATGTGGACAAACACATGACCTTTAAGTGATAAAAAACCAAATTAAGAAAAAAACTATATCAGACTTTGAACACTTTGGGAAAAACAATCATACAGGCTTTGGATTTCCATTAGGCACTCTAAATGAGGAGTCCTTTGTCATGAAAATGTTGTCACATCATCCACTTTAACAATATTTTCAATTCCAGAATCCCTGAAAAGGGGTACCTCGGAAGCTAAATGAGGGTTTTTTGGCCTGGTGTACCCTCACCTGCAACAACCAAACCCAATTTCTACAATATTCTCCCTTTAAATAATCTTAATACTAGATTATAGTACTAAAATAATAAGCAGTATTTTTTATCAAGTATATAGTAAAATATATATTTTGATCTAATATTATTGATTTTTTTTTGTACTGCATCACAGGTAACTTTCAGAAAAAAAAAGAAAGTAACAATTATGTATTGTTTTGCTTTACTATAAATGGATTTCTACAAAAGATAATTACAAAAATCAATTATTTTATTCACCATCTTCTAAAAGATCAACTGACTGTGGATGTTTGAAATGTGCAATGACGGCTAATGGCATCCTTTTGTTTAAAAACGGGGAAATACGTTACTAAATAGAAAATGCAATGTTCTCTACACTACTTTGTGCTCATCTGACGGGCGATGCTCAAACTCGTAATCAAGATGCACAAACGCTCGTTCAACCTCTGGAAGACGCTCCAGTTTCTGCTGTAATGGTTCACCTATGTCATGTGCTTCTTTCAAGGTCATAGTCTCGGGAAGAACAATATCGACTTCTACGATGTAATTGTTACCAAAATGGAATGCACGGACAGTGTCGATCTGTTGTATCTTTTCACTGTGGTTTAATCCGATCCATGTTAACTTCTGTAGGAACTTTGGATTTGCGGTGTAGCCCGTGAGAAGTTTGATTTGCTCTGAAATTTATGATAATATTTATTATTGTTATTTATTAATTTATCCCATATGCAATAGACATGAACGTGTACTGATCCCCCACCACCACATTTCAGTAAAACTGATGACCAGCAATTTGATAACTAAGTTAATATGAGTGGAATTTTACAACCTATGGTAAGTACCATCACAAAAGAACTTTTGTCCAAAACTTGGATTTATACTTCATACTGAGCTAAGCAACACCCATACATTGGAATGATGATTATACAATACTTGTAGTACTAATAGTAAGTCATTTTTTAATGAAATGAGGAACAGATATTATAAGGAGGTCAATTTACGACCAGAAATTTAAAGAGGAAGCAGTTTTAAAGTTCTACAATGGCTAATCCGACAAGTGAATTAACTTGGTTCACCCATGGGCATGTCCATTTCCTTTTAGTCGTAAAAGAAACTAATACAGGTGGTTTATATGTGTTACATAAAATGCATTGATCTTCTGCTAATTTACCTCGAGTCCGAGTAGACTGAAAATTTAGTTCAACATAAATGTCTGGGCTATAGTTCTTTTGTGACAGTGCAAGCCCCTTATGGTGAAAACTGCCAGTAAAAACAGTTGGCTTAAATCTATGACATAGTGCTAAATGTGTTTATGTAACACATTAACAAAGAACAACATTTTCACATTTAATTTAATTATCTTAAATGGAATTGAATCTCATTTCTATTTAGAAATGTAAAAACACCTATATTCTGTTTTAGTTAACACATAAAGAGCATGGTCTTGAATTTCATTAGTATGACAATGACAGTATTTATACAAACATATTGAAACATGATAAAGAACACACAAACATGCACACACACACACACACATACCAATACACTTCACACACACATATGTGCACACACACACACACTGCATGTACATGTGGAAAAATAAAGCACTTCATCATGCATGTACACAGCAACTTACATAGACGAAATGTGCACACACACACAGGCATGCATGCACACACGCACGCAGAAAACAAATGAATGTGCAAACATAGATCTCCATACCGTATCCCATCTGCCACCAACTAAAGGCGATGTACAAACTGATCAAGATGGCTCCAATGGGGTCGGCATACGGCCACAGCTTATCGCCTGCAGTAGACACGAATACAAAAATTATTATTACAATCTAAAACATTGTTTGAACCCATATAATTAAAAATTCCAGGGAACTCTTCTTTTATATACAGTAGATTCTGCATAACTTGTTACCTCAAATTATTACTTCCAATTATTCTCATCTTTTCTTTGGTTTTAGCTGAAACTAATGAAAACATTGCCTAATGACAATCATGAGTCCCAACTAAATGATCTTGAACAAATCAAGGATGTTCAATTTACGTTTAACTTAAATTTTTGAACAAATTAACATTCTAACCTCTCATATTTCAAGCTCTTGGGATGCACTGTTAAGACAATAAAAACTTAAAGGCTGCACATGTTTTGATACGAAGAAAATGGGATGTCAAAAGAAAAATGCTTGGTTATGTTTATTTTTGCTTGTCATCCGTCTTTTCAAATAAATATATCAAGGAGCAAGAAAACATGCTGAAATCCCTATCAAACAAAGGCCCCATTCAGAATAGGGGACTAACAAGTCTGAGGGTCAAATATAGCAACCCACTACAAAGCTTGTGTCTAATCCGCTAAGATACAATGTACACTGATTATATATCCCGTGGGGAAGTATTCAAGTGGATCGGTCATATTTGTCCCCTGGAATAGTAAGACTCCTGTTCTGAATCGGGCCAAGAAAGACAATTATAACTTGGTAAACAATTATCAGAAACTAGTATGTATCCTACTTTGTAGAAATACTATTTACATACTAATACACAAGTATCTACCATTTTAAATTATTTATTTGTCTCCTTTTTCTAACATGCAATATATGTTTTTCAAAAGATAGCATTTTTTATTTAGAAGTAATACAAACAGCCAGCAAAGTTAACATGTAACACCTATAAGCTGAAAAACATTATTATCATTATTATTATTTTATTTATTTATTTAAATATTTTAGGGGCAGGGGAGGGAGAGAAGATTCCTCCAAAGCTTGAAGGGGCAACTTCACTGAAGGTGCTGTGTCTTTTCCCAGAGCAACCACCGAAAAACTATCAGAGGTAATTTCATTGGCCTGAATCTTTGTTTTAACCTGTTCCTCTGCACAACATGCATCATGTGTTTCCATATCCTTAAGTGCACATGCCACAAACAATTCTATAAAAATATCTCAATTAATAGTTACTTGAAAACAGGGTGTTTAAAAGATTAAAGGCAGGAAGGTTGGAAAATAGTTCAATTTGCTTAACAATACACACCTTAAGCCTGTTTTATAGATGCACCATTGTCTGAAAATTGGTCTAAACTTGACCCAGGTAAAGACAAACCATAAGTATTAGTCCAAATAAACTAAACATTTTGCTGTCTTATAACAAGAAAGACAACTTAGGGCTGAAGATTTAGGCCAATGCTTGCCATCTAATCCGCTAATAGACACTGAATAGATATCCTGTAGCGAAGTAGTTAAGTGGGTTGGCCCTATTTGACTAGTTAGTCCCCTATTCTGAGTGAGGCCTAAGTTTAGCCCAATAAATTTTAAGACTTTGAAGTGTTACCTATAAGCCCCATGCCTAATGCGACCAGATTAGAGAGGACATCATTGCGATGGTCCTGAGCCAGGGCTTGGATGCTGGGATTCTTCATGCGCCGACAGAATATGAATAATATGAACTTGATGACTGAAACAAGCAAAAGTTACTGGCTAAGATAAAAGTAACACTTTTTTGTTCAGCAAAAAATGCAAATTTATAAGCAAACAACTATTTACAAAATCTATAAAGTTTTCTATACAAAGTTAAATTGTCTTTTCTCTTCACTTATTTGATTTTTAGAGTCATATATAGACTTTTTTATATTTTAATACTACATGTTGTTTAAAAGATTCAAAAATAGTCTTTTTGATATTCTAAAAGACTCACTGACAAATCTTTAACAGTAAAATCAAGCTGTAAGACACTATAAACAAATTCCATATTAGGTATTTCAATTCTCCAAAATAATAGTAATCATAATAATAATCATAATAACACCAAAAAAAAATAAAGAAGCAGACAAAGAACCTACCAATGGTGCTACAGATGATGACAATAGTTGATATATCCATGTTAACTGTTCTTGGATTTCCCTGAGCAAGGCTGACAATGATCTCTATGGATTCTACAATCAGCTGAGCGGAAGCCAGAGACATGATGACGGAGAGGATGACGATGGCTACTGGCTCGAGTTTTGTGCGTCCTGCAATATAGATGTTGCAAATGTTATCTGGTTGGAGGAATTTTAAATAATTTTAGGAAGTTCATTTTTAAAATCATAAACAACTGACAAAGCCGTGCGCGCGCGTGTGCGTGTGTGTGTAAGGGAGAGGAGAAATACAGTAAGAGAGGAGTGAACAAGGGAACAGAGAAAAAATGGTAAAGGAGAGTGACTGAGAGTGACAGAGAGAATAAGACAGAGGAAAGGAGACATAGAGAGAAAGTGAATGAGTGAGAAACCGAGAAAGAGTGTGGGTGAAGAAAGGGTCAGAGAAAAAGGAAGTTAGAGAGTGAGTGAAAGAGAGAAAGAGTAAGAAAAAGAAAGATACAAAGATAGGGGAGAGTGTGTGAATCAGTGACAGGCTGAGAGAGACTATTAGTGGAAGGAAAGGGTCGAGTGTGAGAGGGAGAGAGAAAGATAGAATCATAAACCGACAGGACACACAGACCAGCACAATGAGTCAATCAAGAATTAAAAGATATCCCAGTTCTGCACCTTGTGGATAAACATAGGGGTCTCTCTTCTTCATGGCTCTGCTGCTCCACCAAATGACCAGTCCGGATAGCAGGTCCACCACACTGTCCACCAGGCTGGAGATGACCGATAGTGACCCAGACAATCCTGCCGCCACTGCCTTGGCGATCATCAGTAACTATAGAAACAGGAATAAACAACAATGATTAGGTACAAAGAATTATGGGAAAGGTCATCTCAAGGTAAAAATGAAGGCCACTGCCTTGGTTATCAGCAGAACCTATAACAATACAAGCAGGCATGAGCAATCCTGCTGAGGTAAAAAGAATTTTAATAAAGGTCAACTGAAGGTCAAGCTGGAAATGACTAGGGGACCCTGCCACAAAAGAACTTAAGTTTTTTAGCTAGAGCAAACTTCATTTTAATACTCAAACACTTTATTCATAAAATATTTCAACCTGCTTTTAACAGATGCATCCACTTGGTATAATTTATAAAACTAATCATGATCAAACAGTTAATTTAATAGTACCAGGGGTTCTATTTCTATAAAATATACTTAAGCCTGATAATTGTTGAAACCTTTTTGGTCAAAATTTTAGTGCTACTTCTTAGACCCAAGGTAGTATAAAAAATAAATATATAAAATGTGTATGTTTTATAAAAAGATAGACAGGACTTATATTCCAGACCTGTGTACTGCAAAAATATGTACCTGTACTATATGGATTCTCTTGCCAAAGATGGTTAACTTTTCTGTCCTAAATTTGTTTAGTGAAAAAGTCTGCAGAATATACTAACTTACTATATTTATGCCCAATGTAATCTTGGCTACAAGGCTGGCTTTACTACGTTCTTCTTTTGCTGTCTGTTCCCCCTGCAAATCTACATCGAGATGCTGAGTATCCTCAAACTCAACGATCAGCTCATCCTGAGCTTTGTAAAAATGCCTGGAATTATGTTCAATATAAAAAGTTGACATGTTTGAAACTGCCCATATTTATTAAGTAGCCTGCCTTAAAGTACCAACACTATCTTTGTCTCTGTAAGTGCCAAAATTGCCCTATTTTGTTCCTTTGAATAAATGATGTACATGTACAATGTACATGTACATATCTCATGAAATAAATAATTCACGATTTCAATAAAAATGTGCTTGTTTGCAAAAACAAAAAATAAAAAAAAGAACTGATTGAAGCAATCCCAGAGGAAGATTATATTTTTCAAGGGTACCTGACTGATTTTGGCAGTTTTTTATCTTCCTTCTGTTTTCCCCTCTTTTTGGAAGTGAACATGTTGATGGAAAAGGGCCATGCAGACTTCTCCTCATCTCCTTGTTCTGCAAGTAGAAAATGTAAATCCAAACTGCACAGAGCTCTAGTATTTTCAAACTAAATTTTACACGTTTTTTATCACAAACTTACATTTTTAGAATAACTCATAAGAAACACTTTTAATGTCGATCTGATATCTTCAGTCCACATGCCCTGACACTGTTAGCAGATTTATAAGAAAAGAAGATTTATAATCCAATCAATTTTATTAACAAATTGACGGGCTCATTTCAATATTTTCCTCAAATTTAGTAACTTGGAAGGTGGCATTTCAAGGCTGTGACATTTTATTTGAAACTGAAATCGAACAGTTATTATAAGTCTTTGTATCCACAAATATCAAAAACTGAAAACAAACTATATTATCCAAATAAATTTTAACATAAATCAAAATTCAGTCTCAAATACAAAATAAAGGAATATCATACTTCGCTTTTCTTTCTTTGTTCAGTCTATTTTTCTCATTTCTTAAAGGATTTTATCCTGAAATTTAAAAACTTACCTCTTGAATCTGCAACAAGCAATTTTTCAGCAGGCCCACCATTCTTCAAGACATGAGTATTATTTGGCAACTTCGATGCCAGGTTCAATGGTTTATGACAGCGACAGAAGTGTCTATTAACAACTTTTCTGCGAACATTTTGCTCTGATCTGTGCATTTCATCTAAGCCCCCAGCAGACTTGCTTACTGCCACTGCATTTCTATCGAAATCAAGTTCCTGTGGATCGTATGTTGGCAAATCCAACATCGACACATACTTGAGCATGTCAGCTACCATTTTGATTCTTGCCTAAAGCAACCCCAGACACTTAAAAAAGGAGTCAATGTTGCTGCATTTTCCAGTCACGAAGAACTTGCCATGAAAACAATGCACATAATTAATAACCTGTGCACTTTATCATTGTTCATAACATTTCCTGAGTTTAATATAAGATCTTCAGTATAGATACCTTGGCTGTTTCTGGAAAAATATGAACTGTCCATAGAGCCAGCAAGTCAAGCATACCTCCTTTTTAGTTCTTGTGAAGACATATGGTAATGACTTGATCCTTTCAATTGGGAAAATCATGAATTTTACAGATATTTCATTTTTTTAAGTCATAAATTCTTTCAAGTAGAACATTCATATCCAGTAACAGCAAAAAAGGCTACTTTGTAACCTCCTTCTAAATAGTAAAAGTACTACAAATGCTACACAGAAATATATTAATTCTTAGTGTTTCCAAAATTATGAATCTGAAAAATTGATGATTTTTCCCCATTAAGAACATTGATTCATTACCTTATTTGCAGTAAAAAACAGCAAACATACATAATTGGAATAAAAATATGTAATAATTACTGGAGTTTCATGGCAAAAAGCATCCTAGCTGAACCCGCATATTCAAGTAACATCTCCAAGATAAATACAACACTCTCTGAAATAAATCCAACAGCTAGAAGCTATACAGCTGAAGTTTACAGTAGGGATTCTGTGCAAGTGTGAAGTACTACTGGTTTTGAATATCAACTACTGTTAACATGCACTGTATACCTTACAGGGTGTCTGAAAATGTTTGACACAAAATTAAACTCTATCAAAACTTGGCCATGGTTAGATGAACTGGATATAAGAGAGATCTTGGAGCTGTTTTACAAAATTATTTTTGAAACGAAGCTTGCCTTGCATTCAAGATCAAATATGTATGCCCTATTGGCATCATACCACTTGTGAACCCTTACATTTTAGGCATTTAGTAAAGAGACAGCAAAACCTCTAAAATTTTGTCATCCATCTCATTATTTCTAACTCTACACACCACACAAGGCCTAAAACTAGGCAGGGCACCATAAAAAAAGAAACAATGACCTATATTCCTTTTCATCTCAATTTGAAATAGGTTGTTTTTTATGAATCAACCTGCATATCTCCTTTAATAAATCTAAGTCTCCCTAAAACCTTAAATCATAATAGGTTATGTCAGTGTCATTTTCTATAACATTTACATTTATTTAGGCAATGTCCTTAAAATGTGTCACAGAACACCATAAAATACCTGGTACATTTATCTCTGCAAGAACTACTATGACTGTATGCCAAATATCTCATGTCAATTACTGCCACATAAAATTATATAAATCCTTTTGTATATGCAAGCTTTATACCCTCTGTAGTCACCAGTGTCCCAGTTAGGACTCTGTCAGGAATCATCCCACCTGGCATGGTGACAGAGTGTATACTTAAAGTCAGGCAATGTTTAGTGTCTGTATGTCTCTACACATCTGTAACTGACTTCCTTTACTAAAGAAAAATGCCATAAGGAACAACCATCATTAATAAAGATAGAGACAATGTCTCTATACCTCCCCCTTCTCTCTCTCTCTCTCTCTCTCTCTCTCTCTCTCTCTCTGTGTGTGTCTGTGTGTGTATCAGCACACATTTTTTTTGGTGTTGAGGACCCTTAGATATAACCTGATATTCAATAGTTTTCATTAGTAAATCAATTTGGGCTCAGATATCATTTGTCTCACTAAATTGTTACAAAAGTAGTGCTACTATTCCAAAGAAATCCACTGAGAAATAAAAGAAGTATTTTCCTTGATACGATATTTGCTTTCATTAGAATACCATAATGATATCCATCTTTCATTTCAACTTTCTGACATTCAGTCTTTTTTTACATCAATAATGAATGTGACATAACCTAAAAAACACAAAGAGGAGACTGAAAAATAATTCTGTGGCTCTATTCAGACAGGGAATCAATTTTTCATCTTAGGTAGACCTAAGAGTCTTATCCATATGCTATATATATAATGGCGCAGATTGAGTCTGAAGACTCCCCTTTACTACTTTTCAACTGGAAATATTCTTAAACAAACTGACCAGTGTTTATAGAAACTGATAACAGCAATATGGTCATCTCTCTCTAACCTTTGTCCAGTTCATAGTTAAACAAAAACTGGCCTCCACTCACCCCTCCTTATTTATTACCAGCTCTCCTATAACCTGAAAAAGCAATGTTTCTGTCTAAGAAACTACAATATCATATGAAACAGTAAATAACACCTGTTCAGCAAACTGTTTGTCCTCAAATAACCCACTGAGCCAGAAAAAGTATCCCAAAAACATCTTCCATTACTACTGGTACCTCAATTACCTATCAATCAAGTCTCTTGCGGGGTGACCTGACCACTCTTAGCAAAATTTCAGGCCCCCTGCAAATTTGCAGCAATTTTACTGCAATACTGCCACAAACCACAATTCCTTCTTGCAAACTTGCAGTAAATTTGCTGCAATATGGCTGCAGATTAGCAGCAATAAAATTTTTCTTGCAAATTCCTGCAAACTTGTTGCAAACTTTTCATTTTGCTACAGGGATGCAGACCCAGTGAAAAACACCAAAACATTATCAGACTTGGGTACTAATACAGGGGGGAGGGATAGAGGGCGTCTTCTGGGTCTTCTATAAGATGGTCAAATTCCTGCAAACTTGTTGCTGAAGCTTTTAGTTTGCAGTGATATTGCTGCAACTATGCTGCAAACTTTTCATTTTGCTAAAGGGATGCAAACCCAGTGAAAAACACCAAAATATTATCAGACTTAGGTACTAATACAGGGGCAGATAGAGGACATCTTCTGGGTCTTCTGTAAGATGGACAGTATTTTTTAGTTTATACATTGACAGGCATCTAATTTTTTCTGCTGGAAGAGGGTCAAAAATAGAGGATGGATCAACAAAGATAATTTGGAAGACTGTCAGAAAATATCTCTGGATCTGCACAGCTTGTAATAAGTTCAGTTTTTTAGGGTACTAATACGTTCAGTTTCATCCATCTGGGTAAATGATCCAGTTTTTTTATTTTTACCTCTAATTTTTCTCAGGCTGAAAAAATTAAATGGCAAAAATTTACACATTAAAACATTGCTTAATTCCCATCACTATCTTAGTCTTGTAAGCTAAAAATCAATACAATTGACAAATGACCTGGAGAAAAAAAACCTGTCTAAACTATGCAAAGAGTATAGAGCTAGAGAAGTTCAAACCTTTATCTGCAGCCTTTCTTGTTCAAATACTGATAAGAGATACTAACATTTGATTCAACAACACTGCAAATATCTATTAATATCCCTCATTACTGATAAAGCTCGAGTTTATGGAGTTTGTTCTTACACATGACGGCACCAGTATCTAACAATTTTCATTGTGCACTGCCACTTTTTATCTCACAATAATCTACCACACCACTTTTATCATATTTTCTTTTCTCATTCAGGGAGTCATCTTCCTCATAATGTAGATCAGATGGCATATTTTTATTACATTAATAACCAATCGATAACCAATTCTGGATATAGCAAATTGCATCCAATTACGCCTAAAGGACCCACATGTTATGTATTTCGCACACACACATGCCATGCATGAATACACAATGGGTTTCTGGACATCCATCGTAACTTAAGTCAAATCAAGGAGTTATAACTCCTTGGTCAAATACAGGACTTGTCAGCAAGGTATACATAACATCCATTCCTACTTTGCACAGGACAGTGTGATCACACCTGACTGGCTGATGCATTATGAGAAATTTGTCATAAAAATCATCATTATCCACTGTTGGACAAAGGCCTCAGCAAGCTTCTACCAGTGTATTCTGTCTTGGGCCTCACTGTTTCAGTTTGGTTTTTTCCAGTACTCATATAACACATCCTTCAATCTCTTATGAGGCTTCCCTTCTGTCCACATCTTGGCATCCATTCTGTCAGTCTTTTTGTCCATCTGCCATCTTTTATTTTGCTAACATGTCCTGCCCTTCTTCATTTCATTTCTTTAATTGTAAACAGCACATCGGTCATAAAAATAGTGTCAACTTTTTCAAAATTCTCTACAGGTGCTTCTCAGTAGAGTATTGTACTTCTACACATGTGCATGCAACCACACATATACAGACTCACATACACATGTGCATGAACAAACACATGAATTCACATTTTTACCTTTAGATTCCAGGACATTCAAAAGCTATGTTGAATACATACACACCACACACCAACATTTACCTATACTAAATATAAAAACAGTACATAATATCATATATTTAGCACAGTCACAGTAACTCTTGATTAAAACTTGCACCTTTCATTATTACTAAAACAAGTACTGAAAGGTGCAATATTTCCAGCAATCATTGCTACTCTATAATATTTCCAGTTAAGTGTGAATGGACATCCTATATCAAACCATTTTATATATATTATTGTAATGCTGCATTCCTCTTCTGATATCAAGGCAAATTATCCCACAGATGGCAGACTTTCAGATTTGAACAAAAAGCTTTCCACTCAAAGAAAGGTACGTGTCAATATTTCCAGTCAAAATGCTTCTAAATGTCAATGCTTCCAAATTAATGAAAACTGACTTCCTCTTTAACCCATTCTTGTAGTTATAAGTGCATTGCTAAATAATGAATAAGTTAATCTGCAAGTAAACTGATTTACAATTATTTTAAACTGCCACTGCTTTATAATGAGCCACCAGCACTAATGAAATAATTAATCCTGATTCTTCCACAAAGATTTGAGTGATTTCCTGTTGTGTGCTGACATTTAGAGAGCTATTTCATGCCTCCAAAGCTACATTTTTTCAGTCACTGTAACATCAATATTCAATTTACCGAGCCTTTCACCTAATCATATTTACATACTGATTGTATAATTCCGCCTGAGTGTGCTTTTGGATTTAATGCTAGAAATGAACATTTGCTGCTAGATCAGACATCAATATCGAAATATGGAAATAAAGCTGGAGAACTGCAATTAATGCAAGTTAAAAAGAACCATTAAGCCCCTATAGAATTTTGCTGTATAACTGTAATGATATATATAAACAGCATGCCCATTTTAAAAATAAAAATATCAACTTGTTAACTAGAGTTCACACTGATTCCATTTGTACTTAGGCAAAGTAAGTTAAGATACCTCCATCATCTCTGTATTATTTATGTGCAACATAAGATTCAGTTCATCTACATATAATTCATTTCACCTGTTATTATTCTCAGCCATCAACTGTGCTGCATGCCTCATCTAGGAAAATAAATGCCCCCATCGCAACATCCTGCAAGTTAAACAGAGCTCACAACCAAGGTTAATTATGAGTTTTGGCCTCAATAAAATAACTCACTTTATACCTATCTATAAGCAGACACATCTATACAGGTAGAGTTGTCAAAGATGCTCAACAGACTTGAAATTGCAAATACTCTATAACTGATGTTAGTGTGTATACTACTTGAACAAGTTTGTATATATAACTTCCACACATAAGAATCTATACACATGTATATATGCACACTGATAATATACATTGTATATATGTGTTAATATATATCTGTACATGAACATACCTTCCCATAAATACATGCATATTCACACTGAGAATACTTATTGTACATATGTACATGTATATACATGTATCTGTATATGAACATACCTTAATTCCCACAGGACTGCTACATTTGTTTTCAGCAGTCAGCTGTTTGCTATACTGACCTACACCTACATTTGTACACAAAATCTGCACACCATGGCCAGAAATATGCTCTGAAATATCCAGTTTTAATCTAAATGATACAAATACCAATCCATCAAAAGCAACCAGCCGTCTGAGATGTAAATTTTACAAATACTCATCCATCAGAGGGAATCAGCTGTTTGAGAGTCACGCTTGTCTTTGATTTTAAGTTGCACGGTCAAGGTGAGTAGTGACCCAATTAACTTAAACTATGTATATCTTTGATTCTAAAATGTCCACCAAGCTATCAAGTGACCCCATTTAATGGAAATATGTCTGCCTTATTTGGTCACCAGGGTATTTATATAGTGTGCCCCAATTATTAAGTAACGTAAAGCAAGTTTTTTATTGATTCTAAACTGTCATCAAGTAAAAGCAAGGGGACCTTGGAATGTAAAACATGTCTCTGTCTTTGACTTTAAAATGTCACCTGGGTATCAAGTGCCAAAATTAATTTAACACATACATCTATTGATTTTAAAATGCCATCACGGTTTTAACTGACCCAGTTAACTTAAAGCATGTCTGGCTTTGATTCTTAAATAGTAACCAAGGTGTTAAGTGACCCCATTAAATTAAAACAGCGTGTATCTTTGCTTCTCAAATGTCACTTAGATATTAAATGACCATGAGCAACTTGAAAACATGCTTCTATTTGAATCTTAAATATCATCAAGGTTTTTTAATGACCTAAACCATGCAAAAGATAATTACCACAGCTGTTTAACCTTGCAGACCTCGATCATGAATTGAATAAACCTATAGTGCCATTGGTAGGTAATCTGGCCTCATATGCATCCCTTTATATATATTTATATATAGTTCATATTGTGACAGGCCATTGGTCAGAATGGGAGCAGGCTGGACATCAGCTGGTCAATTATCATGAAGTGCAATCACACAATAGGTATTATATATATCACAGTGCCACGTCATCTGAATACATGGGGGAAGCTGAGATCTGTGTATACCACAAACTAAATCCAAACTCAGGGCTTGTACTGTATGCTGGTAAGTCCATTTGGAGCCCCTATCCACCTAGGTTCTATGTTTTATGCTCCTATTCACCGAGGTCTACCCAGTGACTATGTTTATAGTCTACCTAATGTTCTTAAGTCTATATTGTAGTCCAATATTTTACACCAGTCTAGCTAGACTATAAGGGCGCATTCCCATAGATTTTAGATCGATCTATCCCCGAGGGGAGTCTACCTAGATTACTGTCAGATAATACGGCTTAAATGTCCGGCCTGCCTACTACAAGCTGTAAGGGGGTAATTAACTTTCATGCCCACTCGGCTGACAGCTATTTAGCGTGAACCCCCAGGGAGTTAGGTCGATCTAGTTGGATTGATCTAATCTCTGGGAATGGGGTCTAACTGTTATATTTACTGTAGCTCTAGATCTACTGTCCTCACTCTAAATATTCAGGACTAGACTGCTAGCCTATTACCAGTTATATATCAGCTACTGTAACATATAATTATAATGAAACAGAAATTATATCTATCAATGGACGAGATTTCTATTTATAAACCACAGACTGAGGTGATATGTGGCAAGCCACATGACTGGAAGACTGTATTGTGTAACTACTGGCAGCTTGCGATGAAATGCACATCAAGTCCACATTCAACTGTATAAGGACAGGTTCTGTCTTCTAATTTTTTTTCTGTACCTACCTTGTAGAAGATGATGCCTATGCTCTCTGCTGCTCTTGGTAGAATTAAACCAAAGTCATAATATGATAATAAAATAATGATATCAAATAAATTTGATACCTTATTTCCTGCTTGATCTTAATGACTGTTGCCAAATGTTGCTGTTTTTTAGCCAACGTTTCTTTGGCAAACTTAATCCAAAAATAAACTAGCAGTCTAAAAAACATACTTACTCAAACTCTACAACTTACCCAGTGCATCAGAGAGACTAACATGAGATGGCGCCACTTCCTTCAGACGGATTCTTCTTCGCATACAGCTATCCAGTGAATGAGTCCGAGACAAATGACCATTAGGTGTTGTTGTTCCACTGGCTGGTGCCGATTTCGGAAACTCCACGATCATGTCGCGAGAGATAACATTTGCTGAGCGTTCCTGTACACTGTCACCATAGCGGCCGGTGGAATCTTTGGGAAATGGTGCACTCTTCTTGCTTCGGAGGCAGCAATAGGATGGCTGTGTTGTCGGGGAAGCTGGCTCTTCAACGGGACTGGTAGAAATTCCATTTTCATCGATGATGTTCACTGCAGGCACCAAAGGCGGGAGGTCCAAATCGGGTGTCTCACACCCCGGGGGACACATGTACCAGCGACAGAATATTCTCGCCTCTGTCTGGGTCTCAGCTGCGCAGTGATCTACCCCTTGCTTTGGTTGGCTGCTCAAGCGTCTAACGTGCTGAGGATAGTCCCCAGGTGGTTGCAATCCATCTTCACTGGTCTGGGTCGCAGGGTCAAGGTCACTTGCTTTTACTTCTGGTGACAGGTCAATGTCTTCTTCTGTAAAGTGAATATGGAGGTTCTGTTAAAGTCTGAACTCATTAAATTCCAACCTGAGAGCATACAACAATAATTATGATAGAATAATTTGCTTTTTAAATGTTTGATATGTTTTTGATTAGTTCTCAGCGCCATCTACTAACATTATTATATACTAAAACCACTAAGTTCAATTCAAAACTGCTTAATTAAAAAACTACAAAATTTTCATCTGCTCATATAATTTTCACACAATGACCATGCACTACCAAGACCAGGTTATTGTCATTGGAAAACAAACAAACACTAAACAGAACTTCATCTGAAACCATATACTATCTATCCTCTAACATGGCCTTTTGGCTCCTTATAGTGACTTTGTCTCATAACAGAAATGATTTCCCAGTCTGCAAATAGACAGCAAAATAGTCTAGACAGACAACCATTTCAACCACATCCAATGCCCTGTCACTACCTGACCTCCCTGAAATGACCTTTAACTTGACCTTGAGGAGACCTTTATCTGACCTTCACCTTGGCCTTCTTGGTTCCCATGTTGTTTCAGCTTCACCGTCACTTCTGCCATGTCCACTCCCGTCCTGCGACACAGAAATGTCTGTGTGCCCATGTCACTGACCTCCAACATGGCGTCGACCTCTGCGCCCTCCAACACATTCTTATCCATACTTCTGTCCTCAGCAGGCTCTTCAGACACCGGGTTGGTGTAGCCTGGAAAATTGATTATTTCTTACTTTACAGTGAAATTAATAATCTACTAGTTATCCTGCAATACTAAATTTAAGTCAATATTTTTTGTTAATTTTTGCTAGCTTTTTTTCCTATCAAAAATCCTAATGAGAGAGAGTCCAGAATGTATAAATCTTTCAGTTTTCTGTCTGTGTCTATTGTAAACATGTTTCCATTTAATGCAGATCTAGTATGCTATTTCCAAAATGTAAACATATATAAATAAGGAAAACAATTAAAGGGGGAAGGGGGGGGGGGGGTCCAAGATAGTCAATACAATAAAACTTGGGGTAACAGAGAAACTCTGCTGGGTAAAAACTCACTTTCAGAACTATGATATTCAGGGTGATAGCATGTGTTGGAGAGAGGAGGGTTACTATCAGCACCTATTTACCCACACTGATATATATATGTATTACACATATCTGTAAATAATATCATCTGCATCTTAAAATTGATAGGTATCCACCCTGCACATGTGCTGTTTGCAGTACTTTCTAATCAAAACAAAATGTGTTCCTTTTTTAATGAAATAATAAGCACCCTCTCTACATTTTTGACAAAAGTGTTGTTTTTTTTTACCTTCATGATCTTCCTGTTTTATAAGCTTATCTTTATGGTCATCAGGTGCTGCCATCTTTTGGTCATTGGCATCAACTACTGTCTCCCCTGTTGCCTTTATTTCACTTGTTGGTAGCAATGAGTAGGAATGAGTTTCGGTAGCTAAGGCACGTAATGGAGATTTTTGTCTCTGAAATAGCACAATAAATATTACTTTTAGTTTCATAGATATAATAAGAAAAAGAAAAATAAAGAGAAAAAGAAAAAATTAGCTCACTGAGCTCTAATATGATATAATTATTATGTTACATTTGTTAACAACTGCAAGCTACACTTGTACTACAAGTGATATACATGAAATAATAACAATATCAAAACTATCTGAAAATTTAAAAAATTACAAAACATTACTACTACAGTCGAAATGAGTAAAGGTCTCATAAATGTAACCCTCTTACATCTGGACTTTTAATTAATTTTTGCACACTTTTTTGCTGAGTCATCCCATGTGTGTTCACGTGATGCAGACACGTTCTTCAACCTGTGACAATTACTCATGATACTATTTTTTGGCAGAACTGAATTATTAGTATTTCCCTTCCCTCCACAGGATTTAATTTTTTTTTATTTCTATAACTCAACTCTACTCTCAATGGGGCATTTCATTATTTTTGTGTCCTGGGCATAAAAATTTCAAACATATAAAAATCAACCAAAAGTAACATTTTCCGGAAAAAAAAGAGACTTCAGTGCGTGGGTTAAAAAAAGATTTACCTGTAATTTATGAATTCATTATTTTATAGAGCTTTAAACTTGAAAATTGTGCAAAATTGCACTACAGATGGAATTCTTTTTTTTTATTTTCTTAATTTTGCATATTTTGAAGGGAATAAGATTATCATACATTCAAATAGTTATCATTTCTAAATTTTTAAATTAAAAGAATAATTTATATTGTCTCACAATGTCCTACTATAACCACCCCACCACCCCCCTACTGGTACCTCTCCCTTTATCATTGGATGAGCTTTTCTTAACTCTCAGGATCAGCCAAAGCAAACACTGTGTACAGTCTGTAGCATTCAAAGCCAAGAACGGAAAAGTCTATTGACAAGCAAGGTTAATGGTAGACACGTTCAGAGATCAAACGTATCATCTTACCCCACAGTAAACATATGCTTCCCTCATTTATCATACTGAGTTAACTTTGGCATAAATTCAAACTTGACAAGCTTTTTACTAAAAAGCCATACAGATACTAAGTAGATTGAAAAACTGTCCAAGCGTAACTTTAAGATCAAATTTTCATCTTATCTGACACCAGATATATCACCAGTAGTTCATAAAATGAATTTTGCACCTGTTAAACAGCAAGAAAGATTTGCCTTGTTTCAGAGCCTTATTTAGTTCTTTTTTTAAAAGTAGACTACTACCAAGGGTTTTGAAGCCAACCAACATTTCGGTCTGAAAAGGTCTAGACCAAAATTGGGGCCATACACGTAGCTGTTTTGTAAAACTGCTGTTTCGCTTACAACAACAGGGGCGGATTTAGGCCGTCTTCTGGGTCTTCCGGAAGACGGTCAGATTTTCAAGTTTACATTGATGGGTATCAAATTTTTCTGTCGGAAGATGGTCAAAAATGGAGGATAGATCAACAAAGATAATTTGGAAGACTGTCAGAATATATATCTGGATCCGCCCCTGAACAATCCTAGACATTATGCATACATACATACAGATGGGAGCAGATGGGTATTTTTTTTATAGGAATAAGAGAATTGCCAGTGAAATGCCAGTTGCATTAATGTTTAGTACCTGGGGTAGATGTGCCTAACTGAAAACTTTTGGTTATAACGTTCTTCCCAAATTGCTTTAACTGCGTGTTCTATACATAATGTTTTGCAAAGTAAAGTATCAGATTCAGTAAACCTTTTCATACTTTTTATCTAGGTCAATGACTTCACTTAACAACAAGGTTATCGTTTATGCAACTTAGTCTGCCCTTTTTGTACTATGTAGACTCAGAGGCACCTCTTAGCTCATGTTTGCAATATAAATTGTTCACAAAAGCAAAACTGCAAAAATGAGAAGTCCCTCATAATAAATAAATAAATAATAGGAAGAAAAATAATTTTAAAACAATTCTAGTATCCATGGTTAACTTATTTCAGCTGTTAAACAATGTAAATCCAGGCCAAAAAAAAAAAATGTAATATATTATAATATATAAATAACTAATAGCTGGTATCTAAACATGGTTAAAATTGTGTTTTGGCTGTGTTGATGAGTTCTGGCTGTATTTGTGTCTACAGATACTGAAACACCAAACAGGATGATATTGTGGCACTGCAAAATTTAACACAAGCCACTCAGTCACGTATAGTATGCTAGAATGCAAAAAATCACATCAAAATTATATATATATATATATATATATATATATATATATATATATAATTTTAAATAAATAACAACTGTGCCTATTTTTTTACTTATACAGCCAAATCTGATGGCTGGCCACCCTCCCTTCCCTCAATAATAAAAAACTTCAATGGACAAATAAAATTAAATTAAGACCATTCAAAGGGGAGTGCAAAAAGGTGAGATCTGTATTTACTGGTTTAAAGTCCCACAGGTACTAATAAAGTCATGTAAATTATCTTAATGGGAAGGTGAAAGTAAAACTATGTGCAAATTTATAGCCTTATTTAACATCCATTATTTAAGTAATTTACATGGAGAAATCAGGGAAAGGAAAAAAAACAGATTTTAGCTCTAATAACATTTTATGCTAAGAAACCATTACTGACTTTATCCCAAAATTCTTAAATTCAGTATTAGAAATTTATTTTCATATATTTGTTTTTTAAATCATTCTTATCATTATCATCTTTATATCATTATCATCTTTTAATACTTGGGGGAAAATCTTCATAATAAATTGCTCACTGTCATAATATCACAGGTCAAATTCCTTATAGATCAATATTTATTAATCACAGGTCAATGTCCTAACTCAACATCACAAGTCAACATACAAGGTCTGCACCCTAGGTGAAGACCATGAGTAAGACATGCAACAAAAAACCACTTTATACAAAATGTTAACCTGTAATACTATGCCAACTAGTTACTAACAAATGGCCTGAATTATTCATTGTTACTGACATCAAGTTACTGCAAATATCAAATCTTACAGTTACATTACCCAACAACAGAGATCAAAACTGTTAGATATTTGACAGGCAACCATTCAAAACTTACCCACAAAACAACAACTGCTAAGGTTGAATTCCTCTGTCTACACAGAAAATGATCCAAGAACTGTAACAGCAATGTCAACAGCAATTCCAATGATTTTTTTACTGTTAAAGGACAACTGTGGACTAAAAGAGGTACCCGCACTGGAGCAGCATCCGTCCACAGATACAATTACAGTAACAGCAACGTCAACAGTAATTCCAATGATTTTTCTACTGTTAAATGACAAATGTGGACTAAAAGAGGTACCCGCACTGGAGCAGCATCCGTCCACAGATACAATTACAGTAACAGCAATGTCAACAGTAATTCCAATAGTTTTCCTACTGTAAAAAGACGACTGTGGACTTAAAGAGGTCCCCACACTGGAGCAGCATCCGTCCACCGACAATTACAGTAACAGCAACGTCAACAGTAATTCCAATAGTTTTCCTACTGTTTAACAACGACTGTGGACTGAAAGAAGTACCCACACTGGAGCAGCATCCGTCCACAGATACAATTACAGTAACAGCAACGTCAACAGTAATTCCAATGGCTTTCTACTGTTAAACGCCAACTGTGGACTGTAAGAAGTACCCACACTGGAGCAGCATCCGTCCACAGCTTCAACTAAAATGATCTCCTATCTTTCTGCCAAGGAAGATAAAGTTTCACCTATCTGACACTGCCAGGGGCTCTAGAAGGGGCGTTGAGACGTGAGATTATTAACTTTAACTGAGCTAGTGATTAAATGTGGGCTGTGACAGGTTCTCTTAATTGATACCTAGGCATCTTATTGTACAAAATTGTTTTTCAAATAAAATTTAGATTATTCTGAAGTGCTCATTAAAACCAGAGACATCTATATTAAAACTGAGGCTCAGAACTAAAAATCACAATTTTTTTGGTGGGCCTAATTTTGGCCTTTATGTCCTTATTTGCTCTGATTTTTGATATTGATGATATTATATCAGGACACTTTGAAGTTTAGTTTTGCAGGAAATTAATAAGCAATACCCTTCATATTTATAGCCATAATAATATCTAATGCTACAGTGACAACAAAGAAGATGTTCACAAGTTAATTAATCATAAACTTATCAAGTATTACTTATTAAATTAATAATTAACTCTTTATGGGTTAAGACTGTACAGTTCAGTTTGAGAAAATGTGTAACAATCAGAACTTCTAAATTCGTTATACACAGATATTATTAAATATAATAAATATACCATTTATTTTTCTTTAATTATGCGTAATTGTCAGATATTACGGGTAATAATATCTCTTTATAAGGTAAGGATTTGATGTTTGTACTAAGTGCACCTGACAGCCAAGTTTAAGGAGAAATTATATTTCAGTAGTGGTATTCAGACAATTAATTTTAGACATTTTTTTATATTCAATTATATTTTCAACATTTTGTGGTCTATTCTCACACAGGTACAACACACACACACACACACACCCTCCCCTCACCGTGCACATTTAAATATGTAAACTGACGGGGTTGACTTTCAGAAGGATTCTAGTCTCTTCCATTCTATAGGCCCAGGTGGTCCCTGGATTTTGTTAAAAGGGGGGCACAAGGATAAAACATAAGGGCATTCAGAACAAGTTGATCTGCAGACTTAGGCTCTATTCCCATAGATTTTACATCGATCTATCCCCGCGGGGAGTCTCACTAGATTACTTTCAGATGATCGGACTTAAATGTCCGTCCTGCCTACTACAAGCTGTAATAGGGTAATTAACTTTCGTGTCCGCCCGGCTGACAGCTATTTAGCGTGAACCCCCAGGGAGTTAGGTCGATCTAAAGTAGGTCGATCTAATCTATGGAAATGGGGTGTAGGACTTGGTTGCCATGCCTAAATCGATCCATCTGGATTGGTCTAACTCCCTCGGGAGTCTCACTAAATTGCTATTAACTTAACCAGCTTAAATGTCTATCATGCCTACCGAATCAGCTAGGGGGTAAAGATAATTCCCCCTAGCAGCTTTACTAGACTTGACAGACATTTAGCAATTTAGTGAGACTCCCCAGGGAGATAGATCAATCCAAATATATGTGGGAATGGTCCCTAAGTTGATCGCCTCCACATGCGCTATCCCTGCAGGGGCCTAGCAATTAAACCTTGGAGTTGTGATTTAATCCGTTTACTAGTAATGGTGTGTATGGAGGTGGGGAGACCATCACCAGATTAATTGGCATTGCTTTTATGTGGGTCTGTTAGTCCCCAGCTCAACTTGTTCTCTGAATGCCCGATTAATTTAGCAACACTTTGTAAGGTATTTGTGAAAATAAATCAGATGGTGGTGAGATGAGAAAATAAAATTAAGGCAAGTAGAAAACTGTCAAAATTGCTTAGTTTATTCTCCTTTTGCTTGCTTTATATATAGCATTGTTGTTCATTTGGGAGGGGTGGGAGGGGGGACAAAACCTAGAGAAGGCATTTTGTGGAAAAGTAACATCTTTTTTGTTGAAACAGGCCCCAGGGTTACTAGCAGCCAGCCTTTCTCAAGATAAACAGACTATATATAAGCCAAAGTGATTTCAAAAACAGTCGTTCTATCGTGGTCTTGACATACTCACTTAGTAAAGATATCACATCAAAACATTGTTATGTAAAATTTAAGCCTTTCTAAAGAAATATCTTGGTGTTGCAAGTACAGGCAGTCTGGCAGTAAGCATTTGGCAAATGCACTTACTAGTATACTGATTTCATGAAGTACTACTATAAGACAATATGAAAAAAATCTCTTGTCTTTCACTATAATTAAATATAATGATAATATATCCAAATGTTTGTTTAAGTCAATATTATCCAGCTTAGATTTGATTACAACAATCAAATTTCACAAAAGGCAACTTGAAGTCAGTTCAAGATTAGTCACCTAAAAAGCTAAATCACAAGATCATGTGGACTAACAAAGACCTTATGAGGTCACAAGATAACACCCTGTATATCAGGTGCCCTTAAGATCCAACTTCTCTATGCATTATCAGCAAGACCCTGCTGTGCAGTTTACGTATTCTGTGATACTCTGGGCCAGTAGGAGAAATGGACTGGAATATTTTTTAAAGATCGAATAACCCTCCCTGTGCACAACTTTTGTCACAGACTGGAGACAACAGAACATGCTGTGAGCCCCAAGTGACCCGTGGAAACCAGGGTACAACAAAACTGCAGTCTAACTGGTGTGTAATTTCGATCAGCAGCTATAAATAAAATCAACAGAAAACACCTGTACAGGTGGAAATATATAAGTTCACATTAGCATTGCTTTGGTTGGCATGTCATAATATATATATCCAGGAATATATCTACATTATATATTTTATATCACACTAAAGGGAAATAAAGTGAATGTGGAATTATAGTAAATCAATTATACAATCAAAGGCAATGGGGTTTCTAGCCCTCGAGAATTTTCCTGTGTACTGTAAGTGCGTTTTACTATCCACCTTCTTGGTTTTATACATTGTATGTACGAGCAAGTCATGATGTTTCATATGTGCTGCTATTATTGTTCCTATTATATCAAGGCTTAATCAGTGCTACTTGCATTTGGCTTCGCTTTTCACTGTATGTTGAAGAAGAGACGGCTTCGTCAATCGCAGTTAGTATAGGCCTAATGTTCAAATTGTGTATAGCCTCAAAATGCACTCCATTCAATAATAATAATATGATCATTAATAGAAAATTAAATTTTTATATCGATCTAACACAACAGGCTGTAACAAAGAGATACCTCCTTGCGCTCCATGTTGAAGTGATTGCTCTAGACTTGTTCGAGACAAAATGCCAACTGTCAGCTGCACAAATGAGGAATTCCCTCGTCCTCCATTTTATTTGACACGATTTTCCTTTCTTCGGCGTGATTAACCTAGTTTCATAATGAGGCTATTTGTACGTTTCTGTGAATAGCCTGCGCGCGACGCCTGTCAATCAATATTGAACGTGCGAGCCAGAGAATCGAGAGAGAAAAAGAGGTGGGGCGGGGGGGGGGGGGGGGG